GAACATGCTCTGTTGGCTCAGACTCTTGGTGTAAAGCAGCTCATCGTTGCTTGTAACAAGATGGACTCCACAGAGCCACCGTTCTCCGAGTCCCGTTTCACCGAGATCCAAACCGAGGTCTCGAACTTCATCAAGAAGATCGGATACAACCCCAAGGCTGTTGCCTTCGTCCCCATCTCTGGATTCAACGGAGACAACATGCTCGAGCCATCTTCCAACATGCCATGGTTCAAGGGATGGCAAGTGGAACGTAAGGAGGGTAACGCTACCGGCAAGACCCTGCTCGAGGCTCTCGACTCGATCGTGCCCCCACAGCGACCCACCGACAGGCCACTTCGTCTGCCCCTTCAAGATGTGTACAAGATCGGAGGTTGGTGAATAGGTCAGGCTCAAGCCCCTGGGGTAGAGGACTAATTGTCGCCGGAAGGGGAGGTCTCATGAGGACATCTGCAACAACTGCGCACCTCTTATTTTTATATGAGGCATAGTTGCTGCAGATGTCCAAGTGAGACCTCCCTTTTCGGCGACATTTTTCTACTCCCTATGGGTTTGCTTGGGGCTTGAATGACCGAAGCGGTATGTAGCTACTGCTGTAAAACCCGATATAGACTTCACCTAATAATATTTTCCATTTTAGGTATCGGAACTGTCCCCGTCGGACGTGTCGAGACCGGAATCATCAAGCCTGGCATGGTTGTTACATTCGCACCCCAGAACGTCACCACTGAGGTGAAATCAGTTGAAATGCACCACGAATCTCTCCCAGAGGCCGGACCCGGAGACAACGTCGGATTCAACATCAAGAACGTGTCCGTCAAGGATATCCGTCGTGGATCCGTCTGCTCGGACTCGAAGAACGACCCAGCCAAGGAGGCTCGTTCGTTCAACGCTCAGGTCAGTGGCGAGACCAGCTAGTCGTGTTAGGACCAGAGATCAAAGTTCTAAGGTTGTAAATTTAGGTTATCATCATGAACCATCCTGGACAGATTGCTGCTGGTTACACCCCCGTGCTTGATTGCCACACCGCCCACATCGCATGCAAGTTTGCTGAGCTCAAGGAGAAGGTAATTTTTCGGAACACTTGTCAAGATCTGGCTAGAATCAAAAATCCTCATCTTAGGTCGATCGCCGTACTGGTAAGAAGGTCGAAGACAACCCGAAATTCCTCAAGTCCGGAGACGCCGGAATCGTTGAGCTCCACCCCACCAAGCCCTTGTGTGTCGAATCCTTCACCGATTATGCCCCACTCGGTCGATTTGCCGTCCGTGATATGAGGCAAACGGTCGCCGTCGGTGTCATCAAGTCTGTGGATAAGTCGGAGGGAGGCGCTGGAAAAGTCACCAAGGCTGCCCAGAAGGCCGGAGTTGCTCCCAAGAAGAAGTAACATCTCAGTGTTCATGTTTTGTTGTTATAAATTATACTTGTTCTCGTGCTTAATACATCTCTGATCAAACTTTATTATTT